GATGAGGAATGCCACTCTTGCGCGATAACATGAGATTCACTTTTAGAAATGAATAGGGAATATATAGAATCGGACAGAAAGTATTGGTCTATTGCTGTTGAGTCTCATTAGCCATGTCATTACCGTGGTCAAGCTCTGGTGGAATTTGATAGGGAGAGCGCCTGTCAAGCGAATATCCTCCGCATTCTCAAGTGTTGTCGCTGCCCGTCTACGGCCTCCTTTCTAGTAGTGGTCCTAAGACCCTTATTTATGGCTATTCACCACTTTTTTGACCGTTCCCCTATCCGCGATTTGGAGCTGTCCCAAGTAGCATGCAGTTGTTTTCCTAGAATTCTAACCCTCAAAAATGAANACGAACTAGCTTCAGGACATCCTGTTCATTGCTTCAAATAAGCGATAAGATATATTATTGAGCGCCATGGACGTCTGAAACGTCTCCCGGGGGTTAGGATCTGGCTTATTGGACGTCGGTCCAAAATGAACTGTGATTTTGACACGCCGCTGTGCTACTCTCAGTGTCAGGCCTTGGTTGTGAATCCTTGGGAATATCACCTGTTTTTTCTTGGGCAACTTAGCAGTGGCGCGTCCACCAACCAATAACGGATTGATTTTTTTTATCACAAAAGCATCCATGGAATGAGTTGTTTGACACGATCTGGCCCCAAACAGGCGTAAAATATAATAAAAAATTACCATGAATGTGTACGATTATATCTCATTTACTCAAAATAGCTAGCCAACGTCACCTGATTTCCATGGATATTCTCTAGTTTATGCTATTAAAACTTCTGTAGAATTTCACTAAGTTTGTCTATTCGTGGCTTTTTTTGTATCCCCTCCCTCCATATTCATCATCATAAACCGAAGTAAAAGCAGTTGTTAATAACTTGTAAAGAAAATTTGACTGCTCGCTCCCGTTTTACTCTTTCACAGTGATATTTCGGTGAAATTTCCTCTACTAATTAGTGTTTTCTCGTTTCCATTCAAAAGATTCTGTTACCAGCCCTCCAGCCAGTTGTTTCAACACCAGACGACGCTTCCTCGGATCGCCTAGACGTGAACGCACGATCCGATCAGCAGTTCTGGCTTCTGCGACGGGTTTCTGAGCTGGCTTTGGCTGCTGGCTTCATTGAGTTGACCCAAGGGCAGGCTAAAAGTACACGTAATTGGAAGAAGCTGTATTGCAGAAGTTATGAGGTTAGTTTATTTAACTCTCCATAACATCTTAGTTTTTTTTATTCGGTGTGTCAGTCGTTAGTAAAACTATCGTTTTACTGTATAATTGCAAACGGAAGTCACAAATATAAAGGTCAACCGTTGTTTTGATGAAATAAAATGTTCACTTGCCTAAATTATTGTACGTAGCCATCCTTCTTTTCACCAAAAAATAAGCTATGCAACGTGCAAAATGAACCGAAAAGTTTGGTTTCTCACATAACCATCAGGGTATTTTTGTTCTCAGTCGTCATTTTCCTTCGACACAGTGATGCTGATGACCGTATTGAAATTTCACCCAGTGGTACTTTATTATCACTCCACTTCGTTGATGTTTACCTGGTTCTTGCATTACCTGACAACAATGAAGGCCTCATGTCATTAACTCACAAATTTGCCCGTTGGCTTGGTTGTCAAAGGCCAGGAGAAATCTTTTAAAAAGTTGAAGTCTGATGTGACTATTCGTTACGCCTTGATGACTGACTGAGCTTCATCACCTAAACTCGGACAACTGAGTCTGTCTACCGTCAACACCGATGACCTGGGAATATATCGTTCATAAGGTTTACCATTCCAGTTCTTTAAGAATAAGTCAGTTCCATCTGTGTGTTAATTTCTGGAAGACTGTAGGGCTTACTCGTTTCCTTTATACTTGAATGAAGAATAAAATAAAACTCAAGATCCCCATGGTAAGTTCTACAACACGAAGCAGTGCACAATAGCTCGACTGGAGAAAGCCACACACACGGTCTGGTGTCTGTGAATTCGTATGAGCAACGTAGGAGAACTATTTGTTTTGTTTCACCATGCTCTCAAGGTGTTGGCTATCGCCCGTGTATCCGAATGGTAGGAGTTTCAGTTCCCGTTTTTGAGGTAATGACCTAAACATAGTACGCACTGCTGGTAAGTCCCAACCAGGCTGAAACTGCTGTCAAGTGTTCTTTATTAGGCATTAGGTATAAATCCATCGTATTCACATATGCAAAACGACTCATCTGAAAAAAAATAAGTTATTGGTCGTAACCCAAAGACAAGAGTCGTCGTGTCAGACAAAATGGTTGATTTATTCCCTAGATTTGATAATGAATTCGTCGTGTAAATGAGCCTTGAGTTGAAAAGCCGGGAAGCACTGGACAGCTGTTACGACCTGGTTGGGTCTTATCAGCAGTGCGAATCCATCGACCTAACTGGGGATCGAACCCGGGACTTCACGGATGGAACGCAAGCATACTACCCACTCGGCCACCCCAAGGGCAACTGATCAGACCGTTTCTCATTTTGAATTTACACGATATAGCACAACCCGTCTATGCGAAATTGTTGCAAGTGTCCGTCCTCGCTCATCTCTAATTATTTGTAATTATATTTTGTTTTTATTTCAAATACCTGTGCAACCCCGAGATTGTATTAACGAAATTCTTATGAATACTTGCATGTAAGCTGACTGCCTCGACAGGTTTTCCTTAGAATTCACCGGACTCCACCGAATGAGCTTCTAAGACAAGGTTAATTGTTCAAATAGTTGTTCGGCAGATTTTAAGTTTGCATGTCGATTGTGAAAAGTTCAGTAGCCTCGGTGGGATTCGAACCCACGCATAGACACCGCCTACGCTTTGTACGCGCATTCAAATCTGCCGAACAACTATTTGAACAATTAACCTTGTCTTAGAAGCTCATTCGGTGTAGTCCGGTGAATTCTAAGGAAAACCTGTCGAGGCAGTTAGGTTACATGCTAACTGGTGGATGCCACATGCCTCTGTAATTTGGATTGGTAAATTCGAATGTGAAAAAGATCAGTGCTATCGGTGTGGCCTCGTAGCTCAGCTGGTAGAACATGCGCGTACAAAGCGTAGGCGGTTTCCATGCGTGGGTTCGAATCCCACCGAGGCTACTGAACTTTTCACAATCGACATACAAATTGAGTATTCTTTGTTTTCACCTCTTTTCAGCCATTATCAGTCTCACTTTCTTAAACGATCTCCTGTTACTGTCAAACACTTTGCATTGGTCTACAGGATCTAACTGGATGTGACTGTTTGGATCTGGGCACCTCAACTAGTTGCATAGCTGCCGTAAATTTGTTCCCTTTCGCTCTTCTTGAATGTTTACTATCCGCGTGCCAAGTTTTCTCGCTGTTTTTATTTTGGAACACCGCCTTCCCTTTAGCCGGTCCTCACCTAAATATATCCATTTTTACACGGAGCACGGGTGCATGCTTTGGACCCTGTGGTCCGAGGTTCGAGTCCCGCCACCACCACCCGACTTTGGTGGACTGTAGCTCGTTGCTATGTCACGCCTGAGCTAGCGGGACCTTATGTGATTTCCAGCTCTAAGTCCCGGGGCTTAGTTACCGGTTGCCATCACTGAACAGCAAGTTTTCGTGACTGTGGGGCTGCCCCGACTGCTGTTCATTACACACTTGGGTGTGTAATAAAATGAATAATAATAGGAAAGATAATGTCAGCTGATATGAAATGAATGAGTTTGATACTTGTGCGCGTAGGTGTTGTGCCAC